GGCGTGTGGCTTCATGATGCAGGTTTTCCCCATTATATTTTGGTCCACGCCATCTTGGGAATCCAGAGCGCCCATCCGCATTGGAAGGCCTTTCTGACAGAAGCTTGGGACGTAGCGAAACAATGGAAGCTTGCGGAGCCGCCAAAGCTCCGTCCCCCCTTGCCACGCGCGCTGCTGCGCGCCATGGTCGGGCTCTGTCTCGCCTGGGACTGGCCTGTGATGGCGGCACTGCTGCTCATGGGCTTCACGATGTTCCTCAGGCCTGGCGAACTGCTGGCGTCCCGCCGCTGTGACCTGTCGCTTCCGTGCGACCGTCTCGAAGTCGAAGGAGATGCTTTTCTTTCGATTCTTGTTCCAAAGACCAGAAGAACGTACCCGACGCAACATGCTCGCTGCTCCGATCGGGGCACGGTGAAGATATTGAATCTTGTGTTTGGGAGGCTGGCTTCCACCGATCCTCTCGCCCCCTTCGGTGCGAGCGGCTTCCGTACTCGGTGGAATCATCTGCTTTTGGCTCTGGGCGTCCCCCTTGCCAAAGCAGGTCAGGGGCTCAACCTGACGCCCGCTTGTCTGCGGGGCTCTGGCGCAACAGACTTTTATATCGCCACGGAAGACGTCCCTCGCGTCTTCTGGCGAGGGCGCTGGCGTCAGGCTTCCAGTGCCGAACGCTACCTGCAAGCCGCCGCCGCCTCTACAGTTCTTGCTGCGCTCCCCGAGCACGCGCGGGCTCGTATCTTGTTCTTCGCCACCGCCAGCGACCGCCTCGTCGCTTCGTTCCTCCAAGTCGGCCCCGCCGCTTGGCCTGCCCTGCTTGCGGCCGCCCGCCAAAACCTTGTCACTTCGCAAGGTCCTTGAGCACGGGTATGGCTGCCTCGCCGACCTCGGCGACCAGACGGACTCCACCGTCTGACGCGCGGCGCCCCGGCTTGAGCGCGCGGGACGGGCCTGCCCATTTTGGGCCGCCCCGCGCGCGCACGCCGCGGCCGCGCTCGGAGACAGCTCGCTGGCGCGCGAGCGGGAGAATGCTTCTTCTATTCTCTGTGAGCAAGCTCCTGCTGTCTCCGCAGCTTCTCAGCCCCCCTCCCTCCTCTCCCACTCTAAGGCTGACGGGCGCTGCCTCGCCGACCTCGGCGACCAGACGGACTCCACCGTCTGACGCGCGGCGCCCCGGCTTGAGCGCGCGGGACGGGCCTGCCCATTTTGGGCCGCCCCGCGCGCGCACGCCGCGGCCGCGCTCGGAGACAGCTCGCTGGCGCGCGAGCGGGAGAATGATGATGATGATGATGGTGCTGATGATGACGATGATGCTGGTGGTGGTGGTGCTGGTGGTGCTGGTGATTCTGATGATCGCGCACCGTGCGGCGCGGGGCGCGGAGCTTGGCGATCCGAGTTTGTTCTCCTCGGCGCATGTCGGCATCACCCAAACATATTTCTGTGATGTGTGCGTCGGCCACGCGGGGGCGACGCGCGCTCAGAAACCTTCGAGTATCTGCTCGGTGGCGGGCGAGTTCTGGCCATACTTCCCGGGCAACGGCCTGCTACAACACGTTTGTGTTGTACGTTCGGTTCGGACATGCGCCTCTACGGAGGGCGCATGTAGCACTGGTGGTATCTTCTCCGTCCCACAAGCAGCGGGCCATTGTCCGAAGTGTTCGATTATGGACCCCTTGTTGAACGCAGCCATCCAGCTTTCGCGCCGAAGACCGCTGGAAACAGCCAGAAACCGCCGAAGACCGTCAGAGGACCGCCGAAGACCGCCCGAAGACTGCCGAAGACCGCCGAAGACGGCCCAGTAGCAATGGGTAACCAGGGGTCCATGGTCGAACACGTAGGTTGTGTGTGCCGGCCACGTGCCCCAGGAGCTGGCCGGAGAGCTCGGCCTCTTCTGCCACAGGCTGGAGCTGGTCGGCGACAGCAGGCGGGCAGCCTCGTCGCGCGCACGCGTGGCCTCGCGGGCTGCGCTGCTGGTGCTGGGAGCCTTCACTCGTCGCTTAGATGGTCCTTTCGGGGACCTCCCTGAGGCCCACCTAATGACCTAATGGATCTGTTCGGTTCTAGTTCGACTCGAGTTCGACGCCTGTTCGACTTGAGTTCGATGCAGGTTCGACTCAGGTTCGCCTCGAGTTGACGGACGTTGGACGCAGCTTCGACTCGCGAGTGGAGCGAGTCGCTCCAGGAAGGTCCCCAGAATGAACTTCTAATGTTGCCTGCCTGCGGTTGCCCGCACGCGCTTGGCTCTCCCCGGGTCGGGAGGCGGGCTTGCCGGCGCGGCTGGGCGGGCTCAGTAGCGTGCTTTGGAGGCGAGTCTGCACGGAAATCGTGGGCGACATATCCGTATCCGCGGCCTCGAGGGCGGGGGCCCCTGAGCCGCAACCCCGCGGGGCCTTTTTCTTGTCGGATGCTCCGCGCGGAACGTATCCGTGCGACCGCGTATCGGCGGGATCGCGCCCCGGAATCCAGGCGGCGCGGGTGCGGATACGAACATGTTGTGTTCGCCGCTCGTGAAAATGATAAAAACGAGGAGATACTGGCTGGCGCCAGAAGCGCGACGCGACGGCAATTTCCGTGCCGTCTCGACGCGACGGCAGTCCAGTGCGCACGTGCCCATGGCGCGTTTCGGCGCTGAAGCAAAACCTGCCACTCATTCGTCTTTGCCCAAAGGCCTAGTGTTTCTTCGGGGCTCTGAAGCAAAACCTGTAGCGCCGATCTCGGCGATCGCGACGGGAAATCCCGACATGCATCCAAGGATCAGGGTCCTCAGCCTCTCCCGCGCCTGTCGCCGCCGACCCCTGCCGCAGCCGCCCCTTGCTGCCGCCGGTCGAGGCCCATGGGGCCGTCGAGGCCAACGTCCAGGCACAAAACGGTACATAACCTCAAGCCTCATGGGGGCCGCGCTGATTTCACGTATCGGCGCTGGACACCCCTCCCAGGCGCGCGGAGCGCGCCAGGGGCGGGAAGAGGAGGGTTGGAGGAGGAGGAAGAAAAGGAGGAGGAGGAGGAGGAGGAGGAGGAGGAGGAGGAGGAGGAGGAGGAGGGAGGAGGAGGAGGAGGAGGAGGAGGAGGAGGAGGAGGAGGAGGGAGGAGGAGGAGGAGGAGGAGGAGGAGGAGGAGGAGGAGGAGGAGGAGGAGGAGGAGGAGGAGGAGGGAGGAGAGAGGAGGAGGAGGAGGAGGAGAGGAGGAGAGGAGGAGGAGGAGGAGGAGGAGGAGGAGGAGGATGGAGGAGGAGGAGGGGAGGAGGGAGGAGGAGGGGGACGGAGGACGGAGGACGGAGGAGGAGGGGGGAGGAGGAGGATGGAGGAGGGAGAGGAGGAGGAGGGGGGAGAGGAGGGGGGAGGAGGGAGGAGGGGGGAGGGAGGAGGGAGGGGAGGAGGAGGAGGAGGAGGAGGAGGGCGGAGGCGGAGGAGGCGGAGGAGGAGAAGGCGGAGGAGGAGGGAGAGGAGGAGGCGGAGGAGGCGGAGGAGGAGGTGGACGGAGGAGGAGGGCGGAGGCGGAGGAGGCGGAGGTGGAGGAGGAGGAGGAGGAGGCGGAGGAGGAGGAGGAGGAGGAGGAGGGAAGAGGGAGGAGGGATGAGGGAGGGGGGAGAACAAGCTATGTGCGCACGCGTCATATCTGACGTCCTACCCCTCCCTCCCATCCCTTACCATGGCGCTGATTTTCTCTATCCGCGGACGCGTGTCGTAGCGGACCTGTGGCTCCGCGCGCGGGCGTGCGTAGTGGGTGGTGGTGCGCGTGCGTGCGTGCGTGCGTGCGTGGTTGTGGTTGTGGTTGTGGTTGTGGTTGTGGTTGTGGTTGTGGTTGTGGTTGTGGTTGTGGTTGTGTGTGGTGCTGGTGCTGGTGCTGGTGCTGGTGTGGGTGGTGTGCTGGTGTGTGTGTGCTCTGTGCGGTGGTGGTGGGGGTGGTGGTGGGGTGGGGTGGTGGTGGTGGTGGTGGTGTGTTGTGGCGGTGGTGTGTTGGTGGTTGGTGTGTGTGTGTGTGTGTGTGTGCGTGTGTTGGTGTGTGTGTGTGGTGTGTGTGTGTGTGCGTGTGCGTGTGCGTGTGCGTGTGCGGCGTGCGTGCGTGGTGTGAATGTGTGAATGTGTAATGTGGAATGTTGAATGTGTGTGTGGTGTGGGTGCGTGCGTGCGTGCGTGCGTGCGCGTGCGTGCGTGCGTGCGTGCGTGCGTGCGTGCGTGCGTGCGTGCGTGCGTGCGTGCGTGCGTGCGTGCGTGCGTGCGTGCGTGCGTGCGTGCGTGCGTGCGTGCGTGCGTGTGTGTTGTGTGCGCGCGCGTGTGATGTGGTGTGACGCGGTGTAGCGTGGTGGTGGTGGGTGGGGTAGTGGGGTGGTGGGGTGGCGGTGCGCGTGCGTGCGTGCGTGCGTGCGTTGGTGGGTGGAAGTGGCGGTGGGCGGGGCGGGGCGCGGTGCGGTGGTGGCGGGCGGATGGGCGCGCGAGAAAGAGGCCCGCGCTGGGGCGAGAACGCCATCCTGAACGACGGAGGCAAAACACCGATCCGAAAATGAGACCCACGCTGCAGCGGGAGCACGATTCGGAACGAGCGGGGCCCGAAAATGAGGCCGGCGCCTCAGCGAGAGCAGCATTTTGAAACAAATGCAGGCGAAAACCCAACTCCCGGGAATCCTGTGTGTAAAAAAACAGGACGCGGGGGGGGGCGAACACTCCCAGCACGTCATCAGGGGAAGAGGAAGAGTAGTATTCATATTGAGTAATTGAGGAGGAGGAGGAGGAGGAGGAGGAGGAGGAGGAGGAGGAGGAGGAGGAGGGAGGAGGAGGAGGAGGGAGGAGGAGGAGGAGGAGGAGGAGGAGGAGGAAGAGCGGAGGGCGCCAGGGGCGTCGCCAGAGGCGCCGCCAGGGGGCTCGAACGACGATCCGAGAAGTCTTTGCCAGTCTTTAGCTCCTCAGCGCGACCCGCGCCCGCCACCACCGACCCTTGCCGCAGCCGCCTCTGGCTGCCGCGGGCCGCGCCCCCAGGGGGGGCCCGTCGGCGGGAGGCCCCGGGGCCCGATGACGAGCCTCGACGCGGGCCCGGGCGCTGCGCTCTCGCCGCTGCCGCCGCTGCGGCCGACGGGCCTGGGCTCCGTCCGCGCGCAGAGCAGCTGGGACCCAGCAGCCTGGCTCCGCGGGGCGCTGGCGGCGGAGCGGAAGGCGCCAGGCGTCACGGAAGGATCGAGGCGGAGGTGATCTCCGCCGTGTCGTTGGCCTCTCGCGGGGCTCTTGCCCCGCTGAAGCACGACCCCGCGGGGAAGTGGGGGGCATGTCTCGAGCAGAATCCGGGCGCCAGATGCCTGGGAACGTACAGTGGGGGGGGGGCGCGCATCAAGAAGCCACATGCTTTTCATCAGGGTTTCCTGGGTTTGTTTACTCCGCGCGCTGTGCGATGACTTCCCGCAACCGTTGAAGAAGCTAATGCGTTCAGGGTGCTCCAGGTTCTCCTCAGGTTCACCTCGCGCGCGGGTTTTCAGGGTTGGGTGAATTACGAGGGTTTCTTGCGGCCGCGCCCGCACTGTATCCATGTCCATGCCCTCGCGGTCTGGATCCGGGGGCGCGGACACGCGGTCGCACGGATGCGTCTCGCGCGTGGATTGCGCGAACAAAACACCCCATATCCGCACGGCCGTGGCCCAGGGGCCCGACCCGTGAGACCGTGGATACGGATATTATGTTTTTGGCCCACGGGGGCGGGGCGGGGCCCATTGTCGCGTCGGACGGAAGGGCCACACCCTCGGAGGTCACGACAGGCTCAGAGGGGGGTGGTCGGACGTCCTCGTCGGATCTCGGCGGCTTTCCAGCCTCGAGGTGCGTTCCAGCAGCTTTGCCTCGCCGAGACCGTTCCGGGTTCCAGGGGGGTGCGTCGACCTCATCGCCGACGGGGGCCCGAGAGTCCACCTTGCCCAAGACCGTACGGATTCGAAATTTGAGGCCTATCACCGAACTGTCGGGGATGCATCGCCGATTCCAAGTCGAACCCAAATATTGCCCTTCAGAGGGGGAGTGGGAAATTTCCCCCCTCTTCTTAGGGGCAACGTTCAGAAATCCTGTTGTGAATGATTGGTTTCGTTTCCGCCGCCCCAGGCGCCTTCCTCGATGCACGGCCGTTTCTGGCGCCAACGGGGCGCCAGGAAAGTCAATCACATGACGCATTGATTCGTGAATTCTTCGAGCTGGAGATTGGACATGTCTCGAGCGGGGGGCCGCGGAAGATGCAGGCCATCCCACCAGGTGGACCCTCCCTGGCTCCGCGCGCTGGCGGTAGTGGTGCCAACATTCTTTACCCCTGGGCCAAGGCGGGCTGCCACCATGGGCGTCGCCGCCTTCTCCAGGAGGATCGAGGATCGGAGAGGATGGAGGAATCGAGGATCAGAGAGGCCCTTGGCGGCGTTCTGCTTGGGCGTTTTCGGGGGAGGGTGGGGGGCAAGGGAGGGGGGAGGGGCCCCCTTCGCCCCATGGGAGGAGGTGGTGGCGACCCCGCCCATGCCCAGACGTCTGGTGTCCTGATTTTTCAGAGCGGGCCCCGTGCTGCGGGGTGTCTGGAAGTCCCGACCCTGTCCCAAGGGCCGGTTTTTGATCCTGGATGGTTCTCTGAGGGTCTTGGGGCCAGGCGAGGGCCCCAAGAGGCTGAAAACCGCGAAACAACTCCGTCTCGATTTTTGTCAACACGTTTCAGCCCTGGCCCATGCCCTGACCATTGGATGCCAGAATTTCTTTGGTCGCGACGGACGAGGTCGATCGCTACCGAATTTGCCCAAGATTCCTGTATCTGTCGCGACCGGTGTGCTTCAAAATCGGTCGCGACCGATGGGTCGCGACTGGTCGCGACCGATTCTAGAATCCGTCGATATTGGTCGCGACCCATGTGGAGTGCCGATGGGTCGCTACCCTTCGCGACCGGAATCCTTGTCAGATCCAGGGACCTGGGTACAGGGCATGCGGCATACCCGAAGAGGTGCTGGCGGATGTGCTGTGGGAGCGGCACTCCGCGATGCAGGCGGAGCTGGAGTTCGTGGGCGCAAATCATATCCGTATCCACGGCCTCGCGAGCCAGGCCCCATGGCTGCGATCCCGCGGACACGCTGTGCGTTTTGTTCGCGCATGCCCCGCGCGGAGCGTGCCCGTGAGGCCGCGTGTCCGCGGGCTCCCCAGAATCCAGGCCGCGAGGGCGCAGACGAGGATACGTTTGGACGGAGCTAGGACGAGGATAAATCCGTTCCGAGGCCGTCCGGAACGCTCTCAGAGCGTTCTGGGACGCCCTGAGAAGGCCGCGGCGCCCGAGAGGTCCTCCAGGGCCGCCAAACCTCATCCTCGTCCTTTATCCTCGTCTTGGCGTCGTCTGATACGCTCACCGCTCGTGAGGAGTGCCGGCTCGGTGCCCGCGCTGGGCGCGCCCGCTCGCCCGCCGAGGCGGGCGGCCCGGCGGGCAGCGGGCCGCCGCTGCCGGCGGGGGAGGCGCGCGGCGGCTCCGAGGTCGACCAGGGGGGGGCGGGTCGGCTTGTCCATTTGGGTTCGTCGAGAGCAAGCGGGGCGGCGACGCAGAGCCCTATCTCGATGATTGGCGTCACTTGATCTCGATACCGAGACCTGAAGGATGCCCTCAGTTTCTCAGGGCGCATCCCTGAGATTGTCATCGCCTCTGGGCTTATCAACCTTACAGGGACAGGGATAGGGATCTACGGTCGAGGCTGGTCGGGAAAGAAGGCGGAGCCACGGACCCAGACGTCCCGGCGTCGCGGTTTGCTCGAGGCACGGGCGCCGGCCTCTCGACTACCTCCTGGGGGCCGGTTTTTTGTTGAAGCTCAGGTCGTCTCGTTGACGGTCCCGAGGCCTCGTGTAGGAGGGCCCGAGAGGCCGAAAACGATGGAACACCGCCGTTTCGGCCCGGTGTCTGGGACAATGGGGGGCCTCGGAGGAAGCAGGCAAGGACTATACATATATATATATATATATATATATACACACATACATACATGCATACAAGACTGCAGTGGCGCTTCGCGCCATGCACCTTGGTCCTTGAAGTTTGGTATGCAGGCGGAATAGCAGGAAGGTCAAGCCGACAATTTAGCGATAACTCCTTGTTGCCTTTTCCGGCGTCGCCGCTATGATCATGTTATTCGTTATCTTTCCTCCATGTTTCTTTTTCTTCATGTTCGCCATACCCTGCGCATTCTCCCTATCCTCCTCAGCTTTTTTTTGCGGAGGCTTCTCCTGGGAGAGCCTCTGGGGGCCTAGCAACAATTGTTCAAGTTCTAGCTAGGCCCCCAGAGGCTCTCCCAGGAGGAGCCTCCGCAAACAACAAAAAAAAGCTGAGGAGGATAGGGAGAATGCGCAGGGTATGGCGAACATGAGGAAAAAGAAGCATGGAGGAATGATAACGAATTACATTATTATAGCGGCGATGCCAGAAAAGGCAACAAGGAGTTATCGCTAAATTGTCGGCTTGACCTTCCTGCTATTCCGCCTGCACACCAAACTTCAAGGATCAAGGTGCATGGCGCGAAGCGCCAATGCAGTCTTGTGTATATATATATATATGTAGACTCTCCTTCTCTCTCTCTCTCTTTTCTCTCTCTCTCTCTCTCTCCCTATTTCTCTCTTTTTCTCTCTCTCTCTCTCTCCCTATTTCTCTCTCTCTCTCTCTCTCTCTCTATATATATATGTACATGCATATACACACTAGAACCACGCGCGCGCTTCGCGCGCGCTTGGGTTCTAGGAGGCCCCAGGCCTTGACGAGTTCACTGCTCCACTGCTGGTTTGAACGGGAAGTGAAGAAACGTCCATGACGCTGAAAGCATTATGGGCAGTGAGAAGTTCATGCATGTCAATCTGTATTCCGGAAGGCTTTCGGGGAAGATCGTTGCGTAGGAGCTTGATGAATCGGGTTCCCAGAAGGCCTTTTGGAAGCATGGTTTTTGGGGGTGTCTTGCGGAGCCTGTTGGGTCGTGCCGTCGTCGTCGTCGTCGTCGTAATGTCGTCGTCGCCTCTCGGGGCGCGCCGTCGTCGTTCTCGTCCTCGTCCTCGTCCTCGTCCTCGTCTTCGTTGTTTCGTCGTCTTCGTCGTCGTCGTCGGATGGACTCCTCCCAGGATCCATGCAGCGCAGTTTTGTCCACTCCAGATCGATGCCCGACGACTTCAGGGCCCGAGAACAGCCCCCGAAGGCAGAAAGCGCCGAACAACCCTTTCGAACATCGAAGTTCGAAGTTCGTCGTCGTCTTCGTCGCCGTCGCCGCCGTCGTCTTCGTCGTCGGCAGACGTCGTCAGAGAAGGCGGTCAGTCAAGCTCACAGCCAACTTCCCAGACAGCTCTCCGGCAGCGTGATGGTACTTCGGAGCCTCCAGAGATTCGGGCCCATGATGAACCATGTCCCCGGAAGGCTTTCTGGGGGCATGATTTGTTTGGATGTGTTGGGGGGCCTCTTGGGCGTTCCCTGGAAGCCCCTTGGAGGCCCCTTGGGGCTTCCTGGGGGCATCTTGGGGGCCTCACGGAGCTTCTTGGGAGCTTATTGGGGGCCTTTGGGGCAAGAAACCTCGACATGTCGGTTAGTGGTCCCCTTCAGGGCCCCTTTTGGGGCGTTCTTTGGACACTTGGGTTGTCTGGGGAGCCTCCTGGGCCGTCTGGGGCACTCTTCGGGGCCTCGTGGGCCGTCTTGGAGCGATCTGCGATCTGAAGGGCCCCCGAGGCCGTGAGAGAGCGTTGGGAAGCGGAAAAAGCGAGAACGCCGAAATATCCTCCCCAAACCGTCGGAACATCTATGAATTTTGCCTCCCAGGGCCCTTTTGGGGAGTCTCTGGAGGCCGCCGTGGAGCGTGCTGGGGTCCTCGTGGGTTGCGTGAGGGCATCCATCTTGGGCGTCTTCGGGGCCTCTTGGGACCGTCTTGGGCCCTCTTGGGACCCCTTTAGCCTGTCGTGGCCCGTTTCGGGGCGGGCCCGGGCCGTCTCGGGAGCCCTGGGAGCCCCCCAGAACCCCCTGGGGCGCACATGGGGGGTACAGTCACCAGCCTGCCCCCCACGCCTGGCCTACTCCGATATACATGCATGTATGTATGTATGTATGTATGTATGTATGTAGGTAGGTAGGTAGGTAGGTATGTATGTATGTATGTATGTATATATATATATATATACATGGATGTGTACATACACACACACATATATATATAGAGAGAGAGAGAGAGAGAGAGATTCCTCTTCCTGTATTTTTATAAGCCCGGGCGGGGGGAAATCCCGTCCCCCCCCTAAAACCGGACCCCCGGGATCTGGAGCTTTGGGACCCTCCGGACGGGCCTCGAAGCAGCCCCCTGGGCCTCGCAGGGCGTTTTGCCAAGCCTTCGCAGCACACCCAGGGCGATCAGGGGGGCCCTCGGAGACGTCCCAGAGACCCCCAAGACAACACAAGAGCGCTCCAAGAAGCCGTCATACCCCCAAAGATCGCCCCAAAACGTTCCAAGAGGCCTCCAAGAGCACCTCTAAGAAGGCCCCAAGAGGGAAAAATCATTGATTCTATGTAGGTTTTTGGTGCATTTGGGGTTCTCCTCTTTTCTGCTTCCCGACGCTCCAAGACGGCGGTCTCCTAGGCGTCCGAAGCTGCCTGGGAGGCTCCCAAATCGCCCCACAACCATCCGAAAGGGCTTCCAGGCAGTCCAGGAGAGCCCCAAAACGGCACAACAGGGGTCCAAAATGGCCCTAGGCGGCCCAAGATGGCCCCAAGACACCCTCCGAAGCATTCCAAATCGTGACTGGGACGTTCAGGGAGACCGCGGTTAGAGGCAGGTTGGCCTTAGGAAGCCTCTGCCCAGGAGGCCTCCAGAAGGCTTTCAGAAAGCCTGAGAACTTTGGTGAGGCCCCCAGAGGCTCTCCAAGGAGGAGCCTCCGCAAAAAGAGCTGAGGAGGATGGAGAGAATGCCCAGGGTATGGCAAGAATGAGGAAACATAAGCATGGAGGAAGGATAACGAACAACATCATTATATTGGCGATGTCAGAAAAGGCAGCAAGGAGTTATCGCTAAATTGTCGGCTTGACCTTCCTGCCACTTCCGCCTGCATACCAAACTTCAAGGACCAAGGTGCATGGCGCGAAGCGCCACTGCAGTCTTTTTTTGTTTCTATATATATATATACATTTGTATACATCGCCATGCAATGAGAAAGGGTTGGATACGTCACCAGGTAATTCGCACGCTGGGTATTTGGGACACCTCCCTGGTAGACACGAAGCTACGTGAGATGATCGGCGATTCGCGGCATCGTTTTTTCTGTCTGTCACCCCACGAGGGCCTGCTGCTGGCCCCGGCCGCGGGCCTCGACACCGAAGCGCCGCCGTCACCGTCCGAGCTGGCACCCGCCGGGCACGCGCGGAGGAAGCCGCCGCGAAGCGCGCGGGGCAGGAGGGAAACGGACGTCCTGAGCACCCTCAGAGCCCCGAATCATCAGGGGTAACTCGGGTCAGGGCTAACTCGGGTTCGTTTTTCGGGATTCCGAGCCCGACTTACCCCGGACCCGAGTTACCCCGGATAACTCGGGCGTCCAGAGCCCCACATCGTCAGGGGTAATTCGGGTCAGGGCTAACTCGGGTTCCTTTTTCGGGAATCCAAACCCGAGTTACCCCGGACCCGATTTACCCCAGATAACTCGGGCGCCCAACATCCTCCCCTGGGATCCGCGCGTTCTAGTTTTTGTTCACGCTTGGCGTGTTCGGTAAGTTTCGGGCCCCAGGGCCATCACATGCCGATCCGTCTCCACGAATGCTGCAGAAACGTTGAGTCTATGGTTCTGGTCGTGTTTTGTGTAGCGATGCTGAATGTTCTTCGCAGCGTCTGACCTGAGGGCTCCCCGTCTTCTGGCTCCTGGGGCCCTCTCGAGCGTCGCAAAAAGGGTTAGGATGAAACGTTGGTCCTGGAAGGCTTTTGGGTGCAGGACCCGCTTCCGTCACGCCAAGGAAGATCAGGCACAGGTCCAAGATTCTGTCGGTGGCGCTGGGTGACGAGGAGCTATTTCCCGGGATGGCGAGCCCCTCGAGCTCTCACCGGCTGTGCCCTCCTGAAGGGGTCGTAAAGGACGACCAGGCGGGCACGCAGTCGACCATGGTTGGGCCCGTGCGACTCCAAGACTGCGACGAGGGCGGGCCTTGCGAGGAAGATCTGCGGTGGCCGCCTCCGAGCGGTGCCGTCGAGAACGAGGCGGTTTGCCCGCGCGTGCCGCCGCCGCTGCAGGAGCGTGGCCGCAGCAAGGACGTCGCGGGCGAGCTGGCTGGAGTGACCGCGTCTGGGGTCTTCGGAGGAGAGTCGACCAGCAGGAAAAAGTGCCTCATGGAGGGCAGCTCCGAGTTGCTGTACCAGCTCGTGACGAACGCAAAGTTCGAGCTTTTCTTCTCAACGATGATCCTGCTGAACGCCGTGGTGGTAGCTTTTGCCGTGCAGTTCCGGGGCTTCGACGTCGGCTTCGAGCTGGGTTATCGCTGGTACGAGAGGCCCGCCGTGGAGACCTGGCCCATGGCGGAGTCGTCCTTCGAGGTCTGCGACTGGGTCTTCGGCATTGCCTTCACAGTCGAGCTCGTTCTGAAGGCGCTCGGCATGCGCCAGTACCCCCGCGCGTATCTGACTGACTTGTGGAACTATTTCGACTTTGCTATGGTCGTCCTCTTCTACATCGACGCTCTCGGCGTGACGCCCGTGAAGGCAAGGGTCCTGCGCGTGATCCGCATGGTCCGCTTCGCGCGGCTGGTGAAGCTCCTCAGGGCGACCGACGGTTTTGAGGCTCTCTACCTTATGGTCACTGCGATGAAGGGAAGCCTGGGAGCACTGGCATCGTCATGCGTGATCCTGGTCCTCCTCCAGATGCTGGTCGCCTTCTTAATCAATCAGGTTTTGTACACGTTTTATTTCGACAACGAGTCTTACGATTTGGATGAGAGGCAAGAGGTATTTGCTTATTTCGGCACTTTCTCGAGGTCGATGCTATCGATGTTCGAGATGACGCTGGCTAATTGGCCGCCGATTTGCCGGTTACTCCAAGAGAGTGTGAACGAGTGGTTCATTTTGTTCTGCGTCGTGCATAAACTGACAATCGGTTTCGCGGTCATCGGCGTCATCAATGGCGTTCTTGTCCAGGAGACATTCAAGGTCGCGTCGACCGACGACCACCTCATGATCTTCCAGAGGGAGCGCGCCGTCCGCCTACACAAGCAGAAGATGCTGCGCCTCTTCCGCGCAGCAGACGATACCGGCGATGGGCTGCTCGACATAAAGGAGTTCAGCAGCGCCATGGGGGACAGGGACGTTCAGATGTGGATGGCCTCCATGGAGCTCGACGTCAGCGATGCGCCCAGGGTGTTCTCCCTCGTGGACAAGGACGGCGACGGCGTGCTGACCCCAGAGGAGCTCGCGCGAGGCGTGGCCTCGCTGAAGGGCGCGGCGAGAAGCATCGACCTGCAGATCCTGCGGAAGGAGCTGGAGTCCTTGCGCACGTTCATCTCGATGGTCCTCAGGACGCGTGTTACGGCAGAGGGAAGCAATTGGTGGACACTCCCGCGGTCCCCCAAATTCAAAGTCGGCACGCGCGGGGAAGCTCGGGTCGAAGTGCAACTCGTGCAACCCACCGCCAACGTTGATCATTTGGGGGGGCATTGACAGATGAATGTGGCATGAGTGTTGGCTAATTTCTTCCGAGGCCTGTAGCTCGTTGTGTGTTCACCCCGTTCATCTCCACCGATCGTACGCAGCCTGCGTCTGTAATCATTACCCAGATCTCCGACGGCACGATTCTTGTGATTCCCAGCCTTTTTTCTCGATGTCGGCATCTTGGGCCCGTCATCTGGACCCGGGACCATCGGAAATGTATCCAGGAATGTTTGCCCCCATTACTCAATGGGTCGGACCGAAACAGACATCTTTGGGTGTTTGGGGTACGTTCTCAGAGTTGCATCGGCGGATCTCGGTGGACAAGCGCACGATGTCGCTGACACACGTCCTGGGGATCATCGATCATCGCCGGCGGGGGCTGTTTCCTAGCTAAGGGGGGATGATGAGGGGGCTGTTTCCTAGCTCGGCGGAGCAAGATCGAGGCTGGACGATCGGCCCGATGCGGCCGCCCAGCAGCATGGATCTGTACCACCTCGCAAAGCGAGGGGTCAAGAGCCGTCTCAAAGCCCCCGCGCGCTAGTGCTGGGTTGAACCCAATCCACGAGAAACGCTGAATCGAGGCTGAGCTTCTGGCGCCGCCGCCGTGGGCCGTGTCCCGGCGGCTGTCGACCCAGGCAGGGTCAATTTCGATTTGGTCGATCCGATTCGATGTCGATCTCGTCCAGCCCGATCCGACTCGATTCCGATATTTCGACGATCAAATGCGGCCTGATGCTTGCATGGCGCTGTTGTGCATCCTGGCTAAGCCGATCCGATTCGATTCCAATTCCCTGTCGACGCGGCCCAAGCCGATGCGCCTTTCGATGCGTTCCGACTTCTCGATTCGATGCTTGCCGATCCTGCCCCGGCCACGCGGCGACCCCGCCAGCGCACGGCGCTGAGCTGGGGCTCTTTGGCGACCCCTCCGAAGCGGTTCGGTCCGAGGTCGATCGAGGCCGCTTCCGATCCCACGCGGCTTCGGTCGGGCGGATGGTAGTGGGGGGTGACCCTAATGGGGGGTGCGGGCCGCAAAAGGGCCTTTCAGGGTCCCTATTGGAATCAGTTGGTGCCCAAAAGAGGCCCTACCTTGTGTCCCTCAATAGTTCTGGGTCCCCGGACTACTGGTACCCCCTGGACTACAGGTACCCCTTCCGTACACCCCCCCGGACTACAGGTACCCTCCCCGGACTACAGGTACCCCCCTCCCCGGACTATAGGTACCCCTCCCCAGACTACAGGTACCCCCCCCAGACTACAGGTACCCCCGTAGTTAGGCGCTACAAATCCTCTCCGAAGCTACAGGACCCCGTCAATTCGCTATCCCCTGGGAGCCAAAGCGGCCCACCAAGCATGTCTCTGCACATTTCCACCCATCGCCCACATTGGGTCAGCGGTCGAGACGCGGCACTATCCAGGGACGAATGGGCGTCGAAACAGGGACATAACGAAACCCGTGCGCGTGGAGCCACGCGCCGAAACCCGCGCGCGTGGAGCCACGCGTGCTTCGACGAATAACATGCGCGCCCCCCCAGACTACAGGTACCCCGGCGCGACCCCACCCCCGGACTACAGGTACCCCCTCCCGGACCACAGGTACCCCTTCCCCAACTACACTTACCCCCCCCCGGACCACTGGCCCCCCCCCCCCGGACTACGGGTACCCCCGCGCGGCCCCACCCCCAGATTACAGGTACCCCCTCCCGGACTACAGTTCCCCTTCCCCCAACTACACTTAGCCCCTCCCCCGGACCACTGGCACCCCCCCCGGACTACAGGTACCCACCCCGGACAACAGGTACCCCCAAAACTATTGAGGGACACAGAGTAAATGACCCCTCTAGGGCCTTTTTCTTAACCCCCCCACTTGAGCCACCCCCCCATTACCACCCGCCCAATTCGGATGCCGATGCGGATGCCGCTGTCCCAAGGAAGATCTGCCAGGCTGCCGATCAACTGCCTACTAGAGAGGCCTCCCAGGAGTAACTCGGAAGGGTCTTTCATGCTAGCGGGAAACCCTTATCTCCCCTGAGCTCTCCGCTGGCAATGAAGTTCGTCCTTCCCCTCCTCGTCCTTCCCCCTATCATCCTCATCACCATCAGTGATCCTCATCCCCCCCCGATCGTCAGCGATGGCCGCAGGAGGTGACTATTTATTTTCCCAGTCTTGTTTGGCAAAAGCCCGCAACCATTAAGAAACCCATTCTTGTTGATGTCTTCCCATTAATCTTGTCTTGTGCAGTCTTGTTGATGTCTTTCCATTCAGAAGCCCGCGCAAAAAAAACATGATTGCGAAGGCCTCAAGGCCGGTGCCGCCAACCTTGAAGGGGGACGACGACAGCGGCGGCGGCGGCGGAGATGACGACGTTGACGTGGGCCAGAGGGATGCTTCTTGGGGTCTCTTCGGAAGGCTCTCGGGGGACTCTGGGGAGGAATTTGGGGCCTCTTGGAGACGTCTTCGGAGCCTCTTCGGAGCCTCTTCGGGCCTTGTCGGGCTTCCTGAGGACCTCTTGTGGGCCTCTTGGGGCCTCTTGGAAACCTCTTGGGGCCTCTTGGGAGCCTCTCGGGGCCGAGAGCTCGGAATGTCCGTTCGGGTCTCACGTCTGGGCACGCTCTTGGAGCAGTCTTTCAGGCCTCTTGGGCCGTCTTGGAGGCGTTGTGGGGTGTCTTGGGGTTCTCTTGGGCTGTGTGTGGGGGCCCTCTTGGAGGCCTCTTGGGCCGTCTTGGGGTGATCTTGGGGGCCTCTTGGGCCGTCTTGGAGCGGCGGGGAGTGGAAAAGGCGAGATCGCCCAAATCTTGGAAAAACGACCGGGAACTCAATGAATTTTGCCTCGTGAGGCCCTTCTCGGGAGTGCTCTTGGAGGCTTCTTAGGACGTCTTGGCGGCCTCCTGGGCAGTCTGGAGGGCGTGAAGGCGTTTTGGACCGATAATTTGGCGATTGGGGGCCCTCTTGGACCGTCTCGGGGGCCTCTTTGGGCACTCTTGGCCTGTCTTGGTATTTTCGGCCCCAGGACCCAGGGGGTGATGCGTATCTGCCCCCCCCACCCCTACCCTATCCCCCCCAGGACCTCTCCGACGGAGGAGGGACCAAAGGGAAGTTACCTTCGACTCGATTGCGACATCGCTAGATTTTGTGCTCTCGCTGACAAGGTTGAGGAGGAGGGTGCAGGGACAGAAGCCTGCACAAGAAGCATGATTCCACCATTAATGAGGGGGGACCCTTATGGGTCATTCGGCCACTCGCCGATGCTTCTATTGATGTCGGGCCCGCGCCTTTTAGGCAGCAGCCTTCTTCTAAGAAGCATCCCTCCGTGCCCCTACACCCTTGTGCGCGCCTCCGAAGTATGAGAGGGGAGGAGGGAGAGGACCCAGACCCTTTCGAGTCAGGAAAAAATCGGCTTATCGGGGCCCTCACCGAGCTCCGGGACCGTCGAAAAATCATTCGGGACGACACACTGGTGGGGAATGAGTCGAGACCTTTGGGGGTCGACGTTATGAAAATCCTAGACGCTTCGCGTCCTCCCACCACCTTCCGTATGCACTGGCTCAAGCCGTCTCGGCTCGAGGTGGCTTGCGCAGCCTGGGCCCCGCGGCCTGGCGCGCGCGCCCGCGGGCTTCCGGCGGCGGCTTGGACGGGGGGGTCTCGCTTCCGTCCCCTCTCGTCTGCTGCCCCTGGGCGATGGAGTCCGCTGCGGCGGAGGCGGCGCCGGGCTGCCGCCGCTCGCGCAGCCAACGTGGCGGCGGCGCCGAGGCCCCCACGGCGCGGCGTCGGCGGCTGCGTCGCGCGGCCGGCGCTCGCGCCCCCGGCGCGGTTCTGGCCGGCGCCGCGGTGTCGCCGCCGTGCCTGCCGCAGCCCCAGCCGCCGGCCGCGCAGCTGCCGCCGCGCGCCGCACGGCCGCGGCCCCCGGTTCCGCGTGGGTGGCCGCCGTCCCGCCGCGGCTGCCAGCGCCGCGACCGCGGGCGCCAGCCCCGTCGTGGGCGCCGCTGCCACCTCGGCCGCCTCTGACGCGGCTGCCGCCGCCGCGGCCAGCTGCTCGTTTGGCGCCGCGGCCGCCGTGGCCCGCGCGGCCGCCCTGGGGCCGGCCGCTGCGCGCGCCGCTACCGCGGCCTCTGGCGCTGCGGCCGCTGCTGCGGCCGCACGCGCGGCGGCCAGCGCCGCGACCGCGGCTGCTGCTGGCTCGGCTGCCGGCGCAGCCGGCGCGGTGGCCGCGGCTGCTGCCCCCTCCGCGGTGGCTGTCGCCGCCGCTTCGGCTGCCCCCGCCGCGGCGGCTGGCGACGCCGCGACCGCGGTGGCCGCCGCCGACGCGCGGCCTGCCGCGGCTTCCGCCCGCGCCGCCGCCGCCACTGCCGCTGGCGCCGCCGGCGCGGTGGCCGCCGCGGCCGCCGCCGACGCGGCCGCCGCCGCTGCCGCCAGCAACTCGGCCAGAGCTGCCGCGGCCATGGTTCATGCGGTCGCGCTGTGGGCCCGCCGCGGCCGACGCTGCCGCGGCGGCCGCCGGCCGCCGCTGCGGCCCGGTGGCAGCTGCCGCCTCCTCTGGGGCCTGCGGGCCAACCCAGGGCGGCCAGGCTCCCGCGGCGGGCTGGGCGCAGGTCGTGGCGCGTGGCGTCTCCAGCAAGCTGCCCCAGGACCTGGGCCCTTCCTGGCCTCCTGCGCCGCCAGGCGACAGCGCGCATCGGGAAACATCACGTGGAACGACCGAAAGCTGCACGCCGGGAAGCATTGCGACCGGAGCCGTTGACCGCGTATTCCTGCGCCCCCTCATCAAACCAGATCGATCCGATGACACCACCCCCTCATCTCGCCTATGTTCGATGTGCTTGCGGCGATCA